TGGGGTGGGGGTTGGGGAGAGGGGTAAGTGTGGGAAGGAAGGGGATAGGGGACATTTGTAATACTGTCAACAATAAAAATAAACTTTAAAAAAAGTTACAAACATTGTGTGGTACCTCCCCAAAGAGCTCTTAGAGATCCTGGTCATCTGACAGTGTTCATCCCTGAGACAGTTTGTAACTAAAGAGAAGGCACAGACAGAGGAATTGGGCAAAAAGAAACAGCTTAGATTGCATATGATTAACAAACAGGTATTTACGTTTGATAAGAATTTTCTACATCAAAACCTCACACCAAAGCCTCTGAGGTCTGTTTTGGCCCCTCAAACAGCTTTCTGCTTTGCTCACATTGGCTGTTTCATGTTTTACATTCACACAGTGTGCCTTAGTGGTCTGGTCTAATTTACTCTTTCTCTGAACCTGAACCCAATTGTTAGAGAGCATGTCATGGCAGCTGGGGTTATTATTCTTTGGACCAACTTGAAAACTAGTCTAACTAGTTTTTTTAAACAAATTAAAAAAAAAGTTATTGTCAGTTCATTTGCCTCAGCATTTCTTCTTATTTTTTGTTGCTGAACAAAATCATTTGGGAAAGAGTGTCTCCCTTTCTCCTCTCCCTGCCCCCCACCAGTCCCCCTCTCCTTCTCTCCTGTGGTTCTCAGATGTTTGCAAATTGGACACAGTTGTGGTAGAGTGAGGGTTCCAATCTTATATCATACAACCTTTTCTAAAAAACGGTAATTATTTTTTAATGGGACATCTAATACATTTATACCATTACATTCTTATGTGATTTATTTTTAAGAGTTTTTTTTTACCAAGTAATGACAAAAGCAATGTTTTCTTTAAAACTGTAGAGGCAATTTTTATCCCCAATAAAAAAATTTTACCCCAAATAAAAAAAATCTGGATCAGGAACTCATGAAAACTTCAATCATGTAGACTATTGGGTTGGTCTCTTGAAAGTATTAGTCTTTTTAAAATTTCAAACTTTATGTAGTTTCTGATCAGACTAAATTATTTTAATTAGCAACATAATTTAAACTTAAAATTATTTTTTCTTTTAAGGTTGTGTCCAATTTTATTAATAATTCAGGGAACTTTAAAGGTTATTCTTGTGTTACTCTAAATACTTTATTAGGCTTCCAGTTAGTTCATTTGGAACTGTGTAGAACTTTCTGATAAGTGGTGGAGATTACAATAGTTTACTACCAACAATCATTTTTTTATATAGAAAACAGTACCATCCTTTACGTCATGCAACCAGGGCTCCTACCCTGCCTCCCCACTTTAGAGAGCCCCCATGTTGACTCCTGTGAGGCTTTGTGACTCCCTATAGTTCAAGGAGTCTTCAGAGCCAAAGGAAGGTCCAGAGCTTCTGCCCCTACTTCTAGACCTGGGTCACCAGAGTTCCCTATCTAAATGGCCCTGAGCCCATTCCAGGGACTTTATAGGCATTTGCCCTGAGATTATCCTCCTGATGGTGGACATGCTTGGATGGTGTACAAGGCTTGGACAGGAAAAATGAGTTGCCCAAGGATGGAGTTTGGGTAGAGAGATAAGGGAGCCTTAAGGGAGCAGAGCATAGACTGGAGGAATCTCTGGGTTTTAGAATGAACAAAAGGTTTGAAAACCTGTAGAAAGGAATTAAGAGGTGAAAGCAGCTCAAACTTTATTTTATGGTCTTGTCCAGTATTGGCAAATGAGGATTCCATGGGTTTTCTCCCTATTTCCCACAGTCCTCAGGAGTCTCTGTGCTCCACTGAAAGTATGTCAGTTAATTAATGAAGTGTTGGCCAAGGAAAAGGAAAACCACATCTGTACACAGAGCTTTTCCAGCTGTTTTCTATTTAGTGCTTGAATGGTGGTGATGATAATGAAGACCCAAACAAATACATCTTCTATAAAACCCATGAAGGTTTCACCTCCTCAAATTTTCTTTCATCGTTTTTTTTTTTTTGTGTTTTTGTTTTTTAAATTATTGTTGGCTGTTTTCTTTTTAGCATCAAAATTCTTGGTCAAGTTGGAGCATAAAAATAATAGTTGTGCATCTGTTTAAATAAGGTCTACTAAAACCACAACTATCTCATCAGCCTTTCCTGTTTGGGCATTCTCTATTTTTAAGAGGAGCATTTTTTTCATAATGTCCTATTCTTGTTCTCATATTTTATTAGTTCTTTGTTATTTCAGAACACTTTCCCAAGCAGTTTTGGAAATTTATCTGCTGGTGTACCCAACTTCAATAATCTCAAACTGGTAAGAATTTTGATTGGAAAAAGTTCTTATAATTTAGTTGAAAACAAAGTTAGATAGTAATCTTTTGACCTTGAACTGTCTAGAGAAAATGCTTTCTAACACAGATACAAAGACTGAGAAAATACTAACGAAACTTAGAGCT